GTGCAGCTGGTGCTGCTGCTGCTGCTGCTCTAGCTGCTGCTGCTGCTGCTCTAGCTGCTGCTGCTGCTGCTGCTGCTGCTGCTGCTGCTGCTGCTGCTTGGTACCTCCATCAAAATTCATTCTTGGGGGAGAAGGAAAAAGGAGAGAACGGACAGTTTCTCCTTGAGCTGTTGTAAAGCCAACGCGGCAAACAGCACCTACAGCAAACGTGCTGCACTCTGCAGCAGCAGCAGCAGCAGCAGCAGCAGCAGCAGGAACAGCAAGAGCCATGCAGGCGTGCAGCTGCAGCCGCAGCAGCAAAAGCAGAGAGTAAAGCAGCAGCAGCAGCAGCAGAAGCTGCAAGAGCCATGCAGGCGTGCAGCTGCAGCCGCAGCAGCAAAAGCCGCGAGTAAAGCAGCAGCAGCAGCAGCAGCAGCAGCAGCAGCAGCAGCAGCAGCAGCAGCAGCAGCAGCAGTAACGACCTTGCAGACACAAGGCAAAAAGGCATTATTTAAAATGGCATTATTTTAAAACATGATTTAAATGGTATTATTAAACGAAGCAGCAAAAAAGGCTTCACCAAACAAAGCACAAAAAGCAGCAATAAGTTTTTTAAAACAGCAATTAAAATAATTTTTTAAATTAAAACTTTTTATTTTTTAAATAAAATAAATTATTAAAAGTTTTACCTCCTGCGAAGTTTCCAGTTGTTTCGGTGCTGCCCGTCGAAGCCAAAACTTCTGTTCCAGCAAACACCAAGTGACCCGACTCCTGCAGCAGCAGCAGCAGCAGCAGCAGCAGCAAGTGCAGCAACAGCAGCAGCAAGTGCAGCAGCCACAGCAGCAGCAGCAGGAGGGCTGCAGCAAGCGTCACCACTGCAGCAGATGCACACGCTGCAGCAGCAGCTTGCTGCAGCAGCTAGCTGCAACAGCGAAGCGCAGCACCTAGCTAGGCAGGTGCAGCAGCACCAGCAGCATCAGCAGCAGCACTTCCAGCAGCAGCAGCAGCAGCACTTTCAGCAGCAGCAGCAGCAAAGGGAGACAAGGAAGACGGCCGCCGACACTGAAAAAAGAAAGGGACGGAAAGGAAACAGAAGCCAACAGCCAGCAACAGCAGCAGCAGCAGCAGCAGCAGCAGCAGCAACAGCAGCAGCAGCAGCAAAGCACCTGCTCCAAAGATATGACTCTTTCGCAGTTCTTACTGAGGGGCAAAGAGCCCTTAAGTACTGGAAAGCACTCCCCAGTAAGGCAGTGTTCATCTAGCACCACCTGGCCAAAGCAGCAGCAGCAGCAGCAGCAGCAGCAGCAGCAGCAGCGGCAGCAGCAGCAGTAGTAGTAGTAGTAAGTTCTTTCATTGCTGTACTGCACGCAGCAGCCTAGCAGCAAGTGAACCAGCAGCAGTAGCAGCAGCAGGAAGAGCACTCCCCGCAGAGCTGCGTGCAGCAACCAAGCAGCACATGAAGCAGCAGCAGCAGCAGCAGCAGCAGCAGCAGCAGTTCCTGCTGCGCGAACTGTAGCTGTTGCTGCTTCTGCTGCAGTAACAGGAGAAGGCAGTGCAGCAGAGCGTGTATCAGCAGCACCTGCTGCTGCAGAGAAGCAGCATATGCTGCTGCAGTAATGCAGCAGCAGCTGGCATGGCAGCAGCAAGCAGCAGAGGCAATGCATGCAGCACAGCCTTCCTTATGCAGCATTCAGCAGCAGCAGCAGCAGCAGCAGCAGCAGCAGCAGCAGCAGCAGATCCCTCACTGTCCCCTGCAGCAGCAGCAAGTCGCACGGCACCCTCATGCCTGGCTTCAGCAGCAGCAAATCGCCATTGGTTAAATCCTCAGAAGAGATCTTCATTCTCTTGAGGCCGTTGTCGCTGCTGCAGCAACTGAAGCTGCTGCTGCTGCTGCTGCTGCAACTCCTGCTGCTGTTGCTGCTGCAGCTGCTGCTGCAGGTTGTGCGCCGCAGCACTTCAACTGTCGAAACAGTTTCTGCAACTTTCTTGAGGTGCCCCGCCTGCTGCCTACAGAGCAGCAGCAGCAGCAGCAGCAGCAGCAGCAGCAGCCGCACAGACAAGGTATGCTGCAGCGAATAAAAGGAGCAGCAGCAGGAGCGGCAGGAACGTAAGCAGCAGCAGCAGGATAAGCAGAGGCAGCAGTAGCTGTGGCAGCAGCAGCTGCTGTTGGTGCCACAGCAGCTGCAGCATCAGCAACACAAACACCACTGCTGTCACATACAGCAGCAGCAGCAGCAGCAGCAGCAGCAGCAGCCTTCAGCAGCCACGGCAGTTGCCACAGCAGCCGCAGTAGCAGCAGACGCAGCAGCAGCAGCAGATGCAGCTGCTGCAGCAGCAGCAGCAGGTGCAGCAGCACCAGCAGCAGGATACGCAGGAGCAGCAGCAGCAGCATGTTCAGCAGCAGCAGCAGAGGCAGCAGCACCAGCATGTGCAGCAACAGCAGCAGCACGTGCAGCAGCAGCAGCAGAGGCAGCAGCACCAGCATGTGCAGCAACAGCAGCAGCACGTGCAGCAGCAGCAGCGGAGGCAGCAGCATGTGCAGCAGCAGCAGCAGCAGCACGTGCAGCAGCAGCAGCAGCAGCACGTGCAGCAGCAGCAGCAGCAGCAGCAGCAGCAAGTGCGGTTCTTGCCTTTCCGTGAGGACATCTGAAACGGTGGAAGCAAGAGTGATCAGAGAGACCAGCAGCGCGTAAGAATAATATTCGTCTAAGACCCAAAGAAGAACAGCAGCAACTTGGAAAAGGTAAAAAGGCTGCAGCACTTCAGCAGCAAAAAGAGCAGCAAAAGAAGCAGCAGGGATCTGCAGCCGACACACGCCGTACAGCTGCTGCCGCTGCTGCAGCAGACACGGACACGCCCCGTGCTGCTGCACGGAGTGCAGCAGCAAACGCGGCGCGAGAGCCACATCGAACCGCACTGGCTCAAACGCTTCCCCATCCGGCCTGCAGCAGCAGCAGCAGCAGCAGCAGCAGCAGCAGCAGCAGCAGCACGGGGGGTGAGAGCTGCGCGGAGAAAGAAGCCCTCGGAACAGCAGCAGCGGACGCCGCAGCAGCTGCTGCTGCTGCTGCACGAGCTGACTGCAGCAAGTCAACCGCAGCAAGCTGCGTGGCAGCAGGAGACAGCGGCAGCAAGCAGCAGCAGCAGCAGCAGCAGCAGCAGCAGCAGCAGCAGCAAAGGCAGCAAAGGCAGTACGAGCGCCAGTACGCTGCGCCACTAAAGGCAGAAGCAGCAGCGACAGCAGCAGCAGCAACAGCAGCAGATACGTGTCCGTCTCTAACGGCAGAAGCAGCAGCGTAGCAGAGCAGCAGCAGCAACAGCAGACAATGCAGCAGCAGCAGCAGCAGCAGCAGCAGCAGCAGCCGATGCCTACCCCCTGAGAATAAACCTGGTATGTCTGTAGGAAAACAGCAGCGCCTCAGATTCCCCATTTCCCACACATTTGCAAGGACCAGTGGTCACTACAACTGCTGCTGCTGCTGCTGCTGCTGCTGCTGCTGCTGCTGCTGTAGCGGGTTCTGCTGCAGACAGGGCCAGCGGAGCTTGAGAAGCAAGCGCTGCTGCAGCTGCTGCTGCTGCTGCTGCTGATGCGTCTGCTGCTGCTGCGCTGTTTCTCCTGCTGCTGCAGATGCTGCCGCGTTCTCGCTCCCCGCTGCTGTCGCTGTGGCGGCTGCTGCTCCTGCTGCTGCTGCTGCTGCTTCTGCTGCTGCTCCTGCTGCTGCTGCTGGCACTGAGTTCCCTGCATCCGCCCCTACTACTTTCGCTGGTGCTGCTGCTGCTCGTGCTGCTGCTGCTGCTTGTGCTGCACGTGCTGCTGCTGCTGCACCGGCGGCGCCGGCGCTGCTCCACAGCAGCAGCAAATTTGCAGTTGGCTGGAAGAGCTGTCAAAGAGGAGGGCGAAAACGGCAGCCGCTTGAGCGCAGCAACACTGCAGCAGCAGCAGCAGCAGCAGCAGCAGCAGCAGCAATCGCAGTAGCTGCGCTAAGTGCGGCAGCAGCAGCAGTAGTAGCCGCAGCAGCAGCAGCGAACCCAAAAGCAGCAGAAGCACCAGCAGCAACCAGCAGCGGACAGCACCCGCAGCAACAGCAGCAACGCCAGCAAAAGCAGCAGCAGCAGCAGCAACCCCAGCGAAAGCAGCAGCAGCAGCAGCAACAGCAACAGCAGCAGCTGCAGCAGTAACAGCAACTCCCCAACAGCCTCCGCAGCAGCCTCAGCAACAGCTGCAGCAGCCTCATCAGCAGCAGCAGCAGTAGCAACCTCAGTAGCATCTTCAGCAGCAGCAGCAGCAACCTCAGCAGCACTTTCAGCAGCAGCAGCAGCAGCCTCAGCAGCATCTTCAGCAGCAGCAGCAGCAGCAGCCTCAGCAGCACCTTCAGCAGCAGCAGCAGCAGCAGCCTCAGCAGCATCTTCAGCAGCAGCAGCCTCAGCAGCATCTTCAGCAGCAGCAGCAGCAGCCTCAGCAGCATCTTCAGCAGCATCTTCAGCAGCATCTTCAGCAGCAGCAGCAGCAGCCTCAGCAGCACCCTCAGCAGCAGCAGCAGCAGCAGCAGCAGC